GAGATTCATACAGTGATATAATAGCGAGTGAAAGGGTAAACGAGCCGTTTGCTGACGCCTGCAGAAATAGCGAACGCGCTAGCGCGTGCTAGCACTCGCCTCCGCGCCCTTACATTCAACGTTCACTGATGCAGATGGAGCCACGCAGCCTCGTACCTCAGTATTCCTTCATACTCCGTCGTCCAGCAAAAGGCAGAAAGGACTTCCTATCGGTTGAAAAAAGGAAGCTCCGCATCACACGCGGAGTAATGTTATAGCATGCGTCCTCCGTGCGATGGAAATGGGCAGCTTGTTTAATCTATACTTCAGCAGTGTTTCTTGCTATAGCGCTCGTGAGATTTTACTCGCGAGAACAGGATACAGTGTGCGTACTAAAGTAGTTAATTTAGACTTTATACGTAACATGACAGGGCTAATGAAAGCCTGTAGAGAGTGTCCATATAATTCTTCTCGCAATCAGAAGTATACAAAAACCGTCAAGTGGCTGGCTCGCTTCGGCGGTTTTTGTATATTTTTGTGTAATTTTTGTGTATTATTCATAGAGAGATTCTTTGTTTTCGCTATAAAGAATTCGTCCGTTTAGAGAATGAAATAGTTCGGAGCCTTTTTCATTGCTTTCGTACTTGATTACACTGCACTACACTTTCCTCACTACAATAATTGCAGGCTCTTCATGATCTATTTCTTAATAAAGCATGTGTGCAATATGAGCGCTAGGTGTGGAGCCTATCACGTTTATGGACTTCTCAGCAACACTCTTCCTACTTTAACTTCCGCAATCGGAAACGCGCAAAATGCAGCGAAATCACAAGTTCATCGCGCATGATAATCCTGCGAGACGCGAGGAAGAACGGGGGTGGTGTTTGGCGGATGCATGCAGGGTAGAAAACAATATACAACTCATATTTCTCGTATATGAACCATTGGAGAGTATATATGTTCTAATAATATCACGTTAATAACTGTTCTGGCGTGACTAATGGCGACAAAAGAACTAGAATTGCCAAGAGAGAATAACACGCTCAACTGTGTGTAATTCAGAAGCTGTTTTAGGGCACTAGATATACAGGAAATCTAAACACGGAAACAAGAGAGCAATCATGACACCACAAATGCCGTTCTCAGAAGTCTTACAGCTGGAGAAAATAAGGTGAAGTGGTATATTTTATGCCAAGATTCCCCGCTCGGGTAAAATTAATGCAAACGGCGGTGCGCCGCAAATTATTGCGCGTCGGCGGCGTGGTCTTTTGAGAAACTTCGGCGGCAACGCGAACGGCGTGAGCAAAAACGGGTGGCAGCGCGGCTAGGCAGCGCACAGCTCTACGTCAAAGCTTTACGTTAAAGTGCTGCGTCGTGTTGCGCGCGCGGCTGCACCAAGCCGGCACGAAGTCCGTTCGATTCGCCTGCATCACGTGAACGAGTTCGTAAGGTGCTGCACCTTGCCATTCGTTTGTACGGTGCAGCTATGATGACCTTTGAACGCTGTAATTCGCTTCGAAAGGCGCAGCACTGGTTCACGATTTTCCTTCACCTTCTATTCTGATGGTGCCGGCTTGGTGCAGCCGCGCGTGCGTGTAGATGTTTACACCTCATAAACTGTCCGCATGTGCGATTCTCCATCGGTCAGAGTTCACTGAACGCTGTGAATTAAGCGAACAGAAATAAGGCCTGCACCTTGTCGGCACATACACAGTCATTCGTTTCGGGTGTCGTGCTGTGCCTGCACCGCTGAACTCACGCTGCTCTATTTCCGCACAAGAACCTGTGGAGTGGCAATCCCGGCCACCGCCAACGGGCGGTGGCCGGGATTGCCGCCAGCGGCCATATTGCTAGAGGAAAAACAGAGCAGAACTGCCATAGGTCGCAATGGAATACGGGCGTCGATTTCCAGTTAAACGATAAAAAAAAGAGATGTACACCACTTTTAGGTTACGCAGACGAATAAATGCCTTCTTGTTTACAAAACAAATTATTTCATGCACCCATTGTCAGCTGCACGCTGTCAGATCAATCTGTTGTCGAGGGATGCTTCGCATATCGAGCTTGCTGGCGCACTATTGCGGTACAAAAGGGCTGTAGTATATATTGGGTGTTTTAAGAAATGCGCCTGCAGATACTCAATATCAAGGGGAACGCGACATTTGCTCGCCTCTTTCATATATGTGCTTGTGTGTGTGTTGGCAGATTACCAGAGAATATATATAAAGAAGTTGGAATATTTAAAGATGAAGTTAGAAAAGAGCACTAATTAAGTAAACTGGGAGTCACCAGTAATTTTTCTAGAGTTATCAAATTCTAACCAATTTACAGGCAAAACCAAAACCGAAGCACTGATGTCGCGTGCAACAGACGAACTCCAGGAAACGTACCCGAAATTAACCGTTCATAATACCCGTGCAACACGTGCAGAGAAAATAGCAATTACCCCCGAATGCCTTCAGATTTATTATCATTCGCGCGGTGTCAAACGTACGAAATGATTTCGCCGAAAGTGTCGTGCTGGCCCAGTGTGTTGAGCCCCGTTCGATTAGTTTCGGATCGTCACGACACGCGCTGCGCAGCCCACGTGCTTTCCGAGCCGGAGAGAGAGTCGTCCCTTCTGCTTTACATTCGGATGTAAACAGGAGAGGAGAATTTACCCAGTCAATATGGCCGACTTCCGGATTCATCGTGGCTTCACAACGAGTGACGTCAGGACCTCTCCGACCTTTCCTTCCTCCGTGGTTTATAAGAACGATTGCAGTGGCGTTAGTTATGTCATATAGCCTCATAGACTTCTCTTGTCTGCCGGATTATCGGCGGTCACTTGGAAAGTGGCCGTCGTCGGAACTATGGTGGCGGCGTTACTTAGGTAGGGGTGTCTTTGAATAAGTTCTTACGTTTTGGAAGCCTACATGCAACAAAAATAACGTAAAAAGTTTAAAAAAAGCGTAAAAGTAATTATAATTATTCTTACTTAAATGCCGTCGCTATAGATGACAGGCGATTTGCGCTCATTCAGCAGGTAATTCTTTCAATACAAGGCATAGCCTCTAAAATTAGCAAACGCCAAAATTGCTAATCTTAAAGGCCAAGTACAAAGACCTTTACTCCTACGTAGGTAGCGCCGCCATGGATGACGGACGTTTTGCGCTCATCCGACAGGCAAGAGAAATCTAGGAGGCTATATGGTTATGCATAATTATAGTGTACTAGAATATTGGGTAGTGTATTCAGGGAGAAGCCGTGGCTGCCACCGTTGATATTGACGGTCGCGAGATAACGCCAGCTTAGCATCAACTGTCACCTCACGCATTGTCTCTTATGCACTTCAGTGCTTTGATATTAGTAATAGCAGGGGTTTAACGTCCCAAAACCACCATATGATTATGAGAGACGCCGCAGAGGAGTGCTCCGGAAATTCGACCACCTGGGATGCTTTAACGTGCACCTAAATCTAGGTACACGCACCTCAGTATTTGTGCCTACGCCGAAAATGCAGCCGCCACGACAGGGATTCGATCCCGTGACATATGCTTGCATACGTCGCGCTTAATAGTTTTGTTTGTTTGCTGGCACGTCCGCAAAAAGCTTTCTGAATGGTTGTGTTCGTACTGCATTCAAAACAAAATGACATGTCAAAGCTGCAACGCACGGTCCGCATGCAGGAATACAAACGACGGTGAAGCAGTCATTCCCGGGGAAAGTGCCCGCAGTTTTTTAAAGCTCTGTTGGCGAACGAAGAAAACATTAGAAAGGTCGTGGTATCGAAGGAGCATCTATAAACCCTAAAGTTTCTTGTTATATTACTGCTATATCGATCCGTAGTCTGCACGCTGCGACAATTTCGACTTCCTTCGTTACGCGCGCGGCACCGTTCTTGTCGATAGTTGCATCATGCAATTGTAATTATGTGGATAAGGTGACAAACCTGCCATTTGATTGAGAGGCACGCCGTAGCTGAAGATATATATATATATATATATATATATATATATATATATATATATATATATATATATATATATATATATATATATATATATATATATTACCGAAGCATAGTGGCGCCAGCTCTGTGCCAGCGTGAAAGAAGACGTTGACGTCCGTGTGTGGCTCGTGCTTGCCGGGTTCCTGCCTGTACCAGCTTGTTGCGGCTAACGTTTCTCGAATAATAACCTGTGTTTTTACGCAACCTTGCTCGTTGCATTTGGTGGAGGTGCTGGGTGACGTCGTGGAGCTCCGCAGCCGTAAGCTACCACCTCAGTCCGCGATAACCGAGCGCGTCGATCCCCCACTAGGCTCTTCCACGCTGCCACCTGTCATGTGTTCTGGTGTACTTCGTCTGCGTGACCCACCAGTATACAACGGCACTGAAGATCAAGATGTCGAGGACTGGCTGGCAGAGTGCGAGCATGCCAGCGCGATTAACAAGTGGGATGACCCTGCGAAGCTGACTCACGTAATCTTCTACTTGACGGATTTGGCCAACCTATGGTTCACCAACCACCAAGCCGACATCCCCACCTGGTCGGTTCTCAAAGAGGCCGTCACCTCGTTTTTCGGTCGTCCAGCCATGCGTAAGCTTCGTGCTGAACTGGGACTGCGGGGACGATTTCAGCGAAATGGTGAGAGCTTCACGAGCTACATTGAGGATGTGATCAGCCTCTGTAGGCGAGTTGATGCCAGGATGACGGAGGCTGACAGAATAAAGAATATAATGAAAGGCATTGATGACGACACTTTTCATATGCTTGTGGCCAAAGACCCACAGACCGTCACGGCCGTGATTCAGTTATGTCAAAGTTTCGATGAGCTGCGCAAGCAACGAGTTTCTACCAAGGAGGATATAAAAACTTGCTGGAGTGGAAGCGACGCCCGTCAGGTGACGCCAGCGGCAGCCATCTTGCCGGAGGCAGAAAGCGCGCTGCCGGTGTGTCGCCTCCACGCTTCGTTGCTGGTGCTCTTCAACGCTTCGTTGCTCTTCAACGTTTTCAATGAGTGCAAGTCTTGCTCTGGGATAATGGTTACCTCCTGCGTTGCCTACGGATGCACAAACAGGCTGAAGAAAGGTTGTGGCCTCACATTTCACCTGTAAGTAGATGAAATTTAGCGTGTTCTACTCGCGGTCATTTCTCGCGGTTCTACTCGCGGCATCGTAGTTGCTTGCAGGCCCACGCATGAAAGAGCAGCAAAATGGCATTGTGTGTACGTGTGCCGCAGTTGATTGTCGTATATTTCTTGACAGGTTTCCAAAGAATGCAGAAGTTCGGAGTCTTTGGGAGCGGGCAGTTCGCCGTGAAGGGTGGCGCGCTAAGGATGGAGACCGCCTGTGCTCTGTACATTTCACTCCTGAGTGCTTTGACCGCACTGGGCAAACGACGCGACTGCGGGTGGGAAGTGTGCCCACGTCGTTTCCAGCTTTTCCGCCTCATCTGCAGAAACCTGTGAGTATTACTGACATCGTTGGACGAGAAGCGTAATGTTTAGCGTGCATAACGCTTGTGGCGTTACGGCCGCTACATAATACTTGTTCCACGAAATGTTGTTGCGGGTATACGTGGCATTTTTTGCGTGCCGAGAATTGGCAGTACTGTGGAGGAGTAGCTGTAGATTTAGCATATCGTTACCGTGTTTGCGTTACCGTTTACCGCGTTACCGGACACCACCGGCGAAGGTGAAGTTACCGGTAATGGTAACTGCTTCACCTTCGGCTTAACTGGTGATCAAGATACTTATTTATTTATTTATTTATTTATTACTACTGACCTGTTTACCAGGTCTTAAGCAGGAACTGGCATACAGAAATGTTTACTACAGAAACATTATTGACATCTACAGCATACTGACAGTGGTTACAATTCAATACTTAAAGGCACATCCGGCGAATGGAAAGTTATACCAGAGCGGGTGCATGTCCTTTTTGCTGGCATACAATGTCTCGTGCACGACTATGAAAAAGCTTGTTACTTAATACATTTATTATTTCTTCAAAGAAAATGTGTAGCTTAATCGTACCCACATTATACGTGTGAGGTTTCATTTAATTTTTGCGCTTGCTGCCTTTTTAGCTCGTCTGAGAAAACGTATGCTTTCAAACCCAGGTCAAACAGAAGCGTCCCGACCCCAAGTCTCGAGATTTCCCGGCCCCACTTGGTCCTGAGTGTTCTGGGTTGTGCGACCTGCCTGGAGCTGAATATTTTCCTGAAGACTCGCCAACCAAACAGTTCTACAAAGACAAGGTCCTATCCTCACAAGAAGAGATAACCCAGTTGAAGAAGGTCAAAACACTGCAGCAAGCTAAACGAAGGCTGGTCAAGAGAAATGAAACCGCCCAAGAAATCAGAGAGCGAAAACTCTTGTCAGAAGAAGGCTCGCATGTGTTTTCATCTGTTTTCTCGGATGACATTCAGCAACTACTGTGCAGGGTGGGCAATGAGCAGAAGGGCAAGTACCCACCTGAGCTGCGAGCATTTGCACTGACTTTGCATTTTTAGTCCAGCCGCGTACGAGTATGTACGATCCAAGTTCAACGAAGCCCTCCCATCCCAGCGAACACTAAGGGGCTGGTACAAGTCTCCCCGCACTCTCGTTTCGGCTATACTGTTCGCATATATTTTTAATGTTTGTGTGATTGTGTTCTTCCATTTTCGAGTTTCTCAAAGCGTTTTCGTAGGCCATTTCGCCACCAAAAAGCAAAGAATAAATGCTTACAACCTGACACAACTGTTTTTATTGCTTTGAAGACGCGAGATACTGCACCTGCTGCTTAGATAAGCGCGAGTGCAGGTGTACTCGGCTGTTTCTTGCCTCTGCCAAGATGGCCACCGGCGGCTCGGCGCGGCTTCACCCGCTCCCATGGGTAAGCATAGGCGGCTTCCACTCCAGCAGGTTTTTATATCCTCCTTGGTTTCTACACGTCACGCTAATACGCAAACAGCTGATATTTCGGCCTTGAAGTGCAAAAGCAGTGGCCCCGACTACAGCGTGTTAATGCCTCAAATTCAACAGTACATCCGGGAGGAAGTTGCTCGACAGCTCTCTCTGGTCGCCACCATCAACGAGACCCCCACAACACTGGACCACTCACTTCGCCGTGCTATTCAGACGCAAGTTGCCGAGGCTCTCCCTTCGCCCGCGTCCCCAATATCAGTGGCTGCACCGCTGCCGTCCGACGACCTCCTGCCCAACCGCCACTCCCTTCATACAGTCCAGCCACCAACTACTACAGGTCACCAGTTTCAGTTTATCCGGTAAATCTGCACTTTCCACCTCCTCGAGCACCTGTAAACTCTTGGCGTACTCCGGATAACCGGCCCGTCTGCTACAACTGTGGTATCCCAGGACATGTCGCGCGCTACTGTCGTCGCCGTGGATTCTATTTTAATGATGTTCAGCATTCCGGCAACATACCTCGGCAATCAGAATCGCACGTGATACCTGATTCACATGACCCCGCTCACGTCGACCAGACTTCAGCCGATGTCGATCTCCTTCACCCCGTCTTCGGTCTCCTTCCCCCATGCTTCGCCGTTCCAACCACGCCCATGAGGAAAACTAACAGTCGCAGTTCCTGAGGCAAGTGCTGCGCCACCGACGAAATTTCCAAGGCCTCATCTTTCGCCCCCTAACGAGATTGCCGTGTTTGTGGACGGTTTCGCCACAACTGCTGTTGTCGACACAGGTGCCGCTATTTGTATAATCAGTGAAGTGTTACGCCGCAAACTGAACAAAGTGACGACTCCACTGGTTGAAATTTCTTTACGCACAGCGAGTTCGCAACACGTCCAACCTTCTGCCACATGCACTGCTCGTGTTGTGATTCAAGGAGTGCTTTACATCGTTGAATTTGTCGTCCTTCCGCATGCGTCTCATGAAATATTCCTGGGATGGAACTTTCTTTCCGCTAATCATGCGGTTGTTGACTGCGCTCGTACTCAACTCGTTTTGTTTCCATTCAGCACGACATTCATAGATCTCCCTCGCTCACCCAAAAAGGTGATCGTCGCCGCTGACGTCATCATTTCTGCTTTATCGGTCGCCGCGGTATCTCTTTTGTGCAACTCCGTTTCCGATTCAACTGCCCTATTTATGCCGTCACAAGAATGCGCTCGTCGCCGGAACCTTGTCGTCCCGTGTGCCGTCATAACACTTGCCGATGGCTCCAGTGCCGTGTACGTGTGCAATCCGTTCCCTTCTCCCGCTACCTTATTGCATGGCGAATGCATTGGGAGTCTTGACACTTATGATGACATCTTTCCTTTCGATGCCCGTTCTGATACGACACCGATGTCCGTGGATGCTGTCACAGCTGGCACCGCGCCCTCACTACCTGACGAAGACGTTCTGTTGCGCAGCGTAGACACCGGCCTTACGCAAGACCAGCGCAATCAGCTCAGTCAACTACTTCACCGTTTCCGCGCCTCCTTCGACCACGGACAACCTCCCTTGGGACGCACGTCAGTTGTTGCTCATCATATCGACACCGGTCATCATACTCCTCTTCGTCAGCGCCCCTACCGCGTCTCGCAGGCTGAGCGTCACGTCATCACTCAACACGTCGACGAGATGCTGCAACGTGGTGTTATTCAGCACTCACACAATCCTTGGGCTTCGCCAGTGGTCCTCGTGCGAAAAAAGGATGACTCCATCAGGTTTTGCGTTGATTATCGTCGACTAAACAACATCACACGCAAGGATGTTTATCCCCTGCCACGCATTGATGACGCCTTGGATTGCCTTCAAGATGTGGAGTTTTTCTCTTCACTGGATCTGCGCTCTGGATATTGACAAGTGCCAATGGTTGAACCAGACCGTCCAAAAACGGCGTTTGTGACCCCTGACGGCTTATATGAATTTAATGTAATGCCCTTCGGTCTTTGCAATGCGCCTGCGACTTTTGAAAGAATGATGGACAGTGTCCTCTGGGGACTTAAATGGCATATCTGTCTTTGCTATTTAGACGACATAGTTGTCCTCAAACCGGTCCTCTCAAACCGGTCCGCTGGCAGCAGACCGGTTTGAGAGTATTCAACATGGATGCCCGCAAGAAGTGAAGCTTGGCTGCGATGTCTGTCGTGTTGTGACAAATGAACGAGTAGTCAGGAGAAAAGGGAGTTGCTAGCAGGATATTTTTTCAACTACATCATTCCCCACTTGTAGAACTTCTAAACGAGTCTCCCGCCTTTTTTTTTAGAAGCGGCACGTCGCCGGTTGCAGAAGTTAAAATATTTCACCATCATGACGGCTAAGAATCTCGCGTGTTAAGCGATGGCGGCGACATTTCCCGAACCACCAAAAGTGATTTCTGCATATTTAATCACCTGAGAACAAAGTCTCCGGAAAATAAGTAAACAATGCTCAAGCGTAGATGATGCCGACCAGTCATGCAGCTGTCCGCGAGCCATGGAGGACATGCCGCGAGCAGACGAAAAGTGTACTGGTTGCCACCGACCCCAAGCTATTCCGCTGAAGTACCGGCTCTCCCCCGCCAGAATCCCGATGTGAGAAACAGGTTGGGTTCATCCTTCCGCGAGCCACGCGGACGAGTCGCGGACGAGGGGAATCGCTGATGTGAGGTCATTTTCCTATAGCCCAAATGATAGCCAAGCACTCCTTTTCCGTGACGGAATAGTTGGACTCTGCCTTCGTTAGTGTACGGCTAGCATAGGCGACAACGTACTCGTCGCAGCCATCCTTGCGTTGAGCGAGAATGGCACCGAGGCCGACACCGCTTGCATCCGTGTGAATTTCAGTGGGTGCATTGGGATCGAAGTGGCGGAGAATTGGCGGAGAGGTGAGTAGCCGGCGTAGCACCGTGAATGCCTCATCGCAGTGGGAATTCCAGCCAGAGAGGTCCGCGCTACGGGAGAGAAGCTGAGTCAGAGGGGCAATTATAGAGGCAAAATTGCGAATGAAACGCCGAAAATAGGAACACAAGCCTACGAAACTACGAAGCTCCTTTAGGGTAGTAGGCTTGGGGTACTCGGCAACGGCACGCAGTTTAGCAGGGTCTGGCGATATTCCTTCTTTTGAAACGACGTGGCCGAGAATTGTGAGTTTGCGGGCGCCAAAACGACATTTCTTGAAGTTTAGTTGCAACCCGGCTGCCGTAAGGCACTGGAGAACTTGTTCCAGACGGGAAAGATGAGTCTCAAAATTCTCCGAGAATACAACTATGTCGTCTAAATAGCAAACACAAATGTGCCATTTAAGTCTCCACAGGACACTGTCCATCATTCTTTCAAAAGTCGCAGGCGCATTGCAAAGACCGAAGGGCATTACAATAAATTCATATAAGCCGTCATGGGTCACAAACGCCGTTTTTGGATGGTCTGGTTCAGTCATTGGCACTTGCCAATATCCAGAGCGCAGATACAGTGAAGAGAAAAACTTCGCACCTTGAAGGCAATCCAAGGCGTCATCAATGCGTGGCAGGGGATAAACATCCTTGCGTGTGATGTTGTTTAGTCGACGATAATCCACGCAAAACCTGATGGAGCCATCCTTTTTTCGCACGAGGACCACTGGCGAAGCCCAAGGACTGTGTGAGTGCTGAATAACACAACGTTGCAGCATCTCGTCGACGTGTTGAGGGATGACGTCACGCTCAGCCTGCGAGACGTGGTAGGGGCGCTGACGAAGAGGGGTATGATGACCGGTGTCGATGTGGTGAGCGACAACTGATGTGTGTCCCAAGGGAGGTTGTCCGTGGTCGAAGGAGGCGCGGAAACGGTCAAGTAGTTGAATGAGATGATTGCGCTGGTCTTGCGTAAGGCCGGTGTCTACGCTGCGCAACAGAACGTCTTCGTCAGGTAGTGAGGGCGCGGTGCCAGCTGTAACAGCATCCACGGACATCGGTGTCGTATCAGAACGGGCATCGAAAGGAAAGATGTCATCATAAGTGTCAAGACTCCCAATGCATTCGCCATGCAATAAGGTAGCGGGAGAAGGGAACGGATTGCACACGTACACGGCACTGGAGCCATCGGCAAGTGTTATGACGGCACACGGGACGACAAGGTTCCGGCGACGAGCGCATTCTTGTGGCGGCATAAATAGGGCAGTTGAATCGGAAACAGAGTTGCACAAAAGAGATACCGCGGCGACCGATAAAGCAGAAATGATGACGTCAGCGGCGACGATCACATT